TGAAAGGCAAATGAAAAAGTATTGGTTCGTAGATTTATTCTGTCTTGAAATATTCACCGATTTTCCTTCTGTCTTTTGCTTTTCACGTTTTTTTTCATACCGTGGTAAATTGAAAAAATCAAAAACTTTTTGTGTTATTACCTCGTCCGAGTAAGCTTTTTTTCTCTACAACTTCATAAGAAGTTTTTGACCAACAAATTGTACACTGTCCTTTACTGTTCTGCGGTTTCCATTACAAAACATCATCCAGCTCAACACGAGGCATTCCTGCTTGAAATGATTAGTTCCTGGTTGGCCCTCTACAGCCCTTTCCGTCCTTCCTATTTGCTCTGCAGTGGTGTTTGGTTAAATTCAAATGAATCATAAAAAGTGCCATCATCGACCAAATCAACTGAAATACAGTTGGTTAATCCATTCTTTTTTCATGAGTTTCGTATTTATAGACAATGCCAGTAACGGTAAGACAGCTGGAAACACTGATACGTCTGGCAACAGCAATGGCTAAAGCACGTTTGGGAAAAAATGTGGAACGATCGGATGCACGAAAGGCATTCCAGCTGTTGCATTATGCATGTTTCAAAGAAAAGCCAAAGGAACGGCTGGAGCTGGAGGAAAAACGAGGCCGCAGAGCACGAGGAAGTGACAGTGAGGAGAGTGATGAGGACGAGGAAGCAGAAGATTTAGAGGTAATTCAAAGTTTACTTGCCACTTTAAGCCCCTATTTTTTTCTTTTTTATATTCAGCTTTATTATGACGGATTTCACTGGAATCACAGGCAAGTCCAGGGCAATTTCTTGGAAGGGGGGGGGGGGCGACAGGAGGTATCGAACAAAGTTTTCTACAGTAAAACAAATGCTACCTGAGCTCCTGGTAGGGCGAGGGGCACGAAAGACCCCTTACCTTCTCTCTTGGATCTGCCAATGATTGGAACTAATGAATCATCCGTAATTATTGTGGTACCCGATTTTCGACAAGGAGGATTCCACTCAGGTTGATTCTAGTATTTTTCTCGTGTTATTATTCGGGTTTTTGTTTAGAACTTGCGTCCTTCGCGTAAATTTTACCGCCTCTGAATTCTTTTTCTCTTTTTTTAACACGTTTTGGCAAATTTTTGATTAATTTCAGTTCCTTTTTAATTTTTTTTTTTGTCTAAGTTTGGTACGAGATATATAAACTGGTGGATTCCAAGTACAAAATTAGGAATTTTTTTTCTTTAATTTCCCCCTCCGTACTTTCATTTGAATTTAGAATACAACAGTGGCAATGGACGCTGAAACGCCAACTTCCAGCAGACGAGCCAAAAGGTTTTTTATCACTTAGTTTTTTGCCAAAGTTAGATAATTTTTTTAGGCGGTAGCTTGCATAAGCTGCCATGTGGGTGTTATATGCAATGAGGTCCTGGAACTAATTTCTGATATTCCCATTCTTGCTATTTGAAGATAAAGAAATTATTCGCCATACCTCGGCGGATTTTAGCCCAGGGCTGTAAAAGGAAAATATAGAAATTTGAAGTTAATATAAATTCTGTTTTTTTATTAATTTCTTTTCTAGTCGCCATACCTTTAAAAAAAATTGTTAAATATAAGTAGAATGTTTTTTTATTAATTTTTCCCCAGCCGCCGTGTTTTTTCTAGGATTTTTTTCTGGAAAGAATTGAATTATTTAATTCTAGTTTCTATATCTTAAATAAAAATTTTTAAATATAAATACAAATACAAATAAAATATAAATACAAATAAAATTTTAAAAATTGAGGTTTTTTCTTTCTTTTTTTTTATTCTGATTTTTAGGCGTGGTGACGATACACAAATATCTGGTGTGGCTGCCTCTGATGCAACAACTGCACGTCTTGGTGAAGAAAGCATGGATGTGGATTTTGACGAATCGCTTCCTGGTCCAAGCGCAAAACGACCACGCCGAGAAACACCGTCGATAAATATTGACCGGTCATTTCCTCAAGAATTTTTAAATCTGCATTATTTTTTATTTAAATTTTTTGGCACTAATTGCGAAGAATGAGTAAGTAAACAAACGCTGGATCAATTCCCAGCGAGATGGCCCAAATACATCGAACAGGCATGTTGCATCATGATTCCCTCCTATGCAGAGCATGTATAATGGCCCAAAGTTGCCTATACAAGGCCACTGTTTCTGTGTTAAAAGGGTGTTTTGTTTTATGCTGGCGGGCCCAACGACCAATAAAGGAAACGGCCTCTCCTAGCTCGAATCATCACCAAGGAATCGACGGCCCAGCCAACGATCCGAGGAGGCGCTGGGGCACCGGGCAAGCGGACGAAATCTCCAAGGCCCCAGCCCAACAGGCGTACAAAATGGAGAAATTTGGCCAAGAGGAAAAAAAGACCAGGCATAGCTGCACTGGGCGTCTGAAACACCCCAGTAACATCACTAACATGGGATTTTCGCACTGATTTCCCGGGCAGTTTTCCTAATTGCTGATGTGGCTGCTTTTCTGTAGCGTTAGGGCTTCATGACGATCGTTAAAAATTTGGTGTTAGAACGCTGAACAAACAAGGCAGACGAGACGAAATCGCCATATAGGCAATGGGTCTTTCGCCTCCTCCCCACCTCCTTTTCCCTTTCTCCCGCCCAGCAGCACAGGCGATAGTGATGAAACTGAAGAAAATTCTCTTTCGCCCCCCCCCCCCTTCCAGAAGCTCACTCCTCCTCCCCTGATGGTCGCAATGCCAGAAGCCTCACTTCCAGAAGACAGCCCTGGATCTACCTATGCAAATTCACGACGGTCATCCGCAACTGAAGCTTTCAGTTCGTTATTTGAGGTGTGGTGAAGTTTTGTCTTCTATAAAAGAAATTTGTTGCACCGAACAGCGTTTAATTTTTATTGTATTTATCTCCTGTAAAATCACTGGTGTAAAAAAAAAAGAATTTAGGTATAAGACATTCCGCAGATATCTGAGAAAAGCATTCGATGATCTCGGTAATCCAGATGATATGATCGATTTATCCGTTATCCGTGATGCAATCCAGGTTAATTTTGAAAATTTGTAATTATTTTCAAAGTCAAAAGCCACCCCCTCCCCCTCTCCCCTCCCCCGCTATATTTTTTTTTGAACAGAAAAGGCACTCAGGGAGAGCCTGGTTGGCGAATTTGACATTCTGGCGCATGATATTACCAATTTAACACCAAAAGGTGGAGCTGTATGTATAGTTTCGCGCAGTTAAATGTAAGACTTTCACGCAGACTTAACTAAGTTGGAATCGCAGAGGGATTGGTTGTCTTGTCAAAAAAGTCGGATCTTCGACCACTCGTACGACCATAGTTACTTCCTTGCATGCCATGTTTGCTGGTCTTTTCTGAATACGGTAGTTTTCCCTGGAGTTTTTCGCAGGCGAAAAATGAGACGTATTTTTTCTCCGTTGCGAAAAAAAAGCAATTTCAGGCGCAAGCCGGACGACTTTTGTTCAGTGAAAGTGAATTTGAAGCAGCATTTGAGCAAGCGACATCCGAAAATATTGCAATGATTGCTGATAATCGAATCACATTGATATAAACTAGCTGGTTTTGAAGTGCCGAACTTTTTCCTTTTTTTATAAATTCTTCGAGTGCGTGATTTTTCTAGAGCTTTTCGTACCTAAATCATATAGCAGGAGTTTTTTTTAAATTTAAAATAAGGTTTTTTATTTCGACCTCTCCATATCCCGCTTGGAATCAAAATTTTGGTTTGGGCTTCTGTTTCCTTTCAGTTCTATTCTGTTTCAAATTCGTGAGTAGGACCATTATCGTAAGTTCATGCATTATCATAAATCCGTATCGTAAGCTTTCTGTTATCATTTATTTATGGTTTAAATTGTACGAAAGGCAGCAATTGGTAATACCCCTCCATGCCCGGCTTGGAACCAAAGTTTTTGTTTAAAATTCTGTTGCCGTTTCTATTTCTAATTCTTGAGTATGGCTATTATCATAGCTTCATAAGTTATCATAAATCATCATCGTAAGTTTTTTGTTATTATTATATTTGTGATTTAAATCGTACGGAAGGCAGCAAGTAATACTTTATTTTTCGTTCATTCATTTCGATGATAATTTGTTACTAGCATATGCCAAGGAGTCAAATCCGCCATCAGCTTGCTTGTAAGCAATCCTCAAAAAAGGGACCGTCGACTGAATTGCCAGCGGATGGTTGCTGTTGTATGCTTTCGAATACCTCTATCTCCCAAAGGTTTTGAGTTGTAGAGGTAGCCCTGAGTTCCTTTTCGTTGCAGTTTTGAGCAGAACTTTGAAAACATTTTCGAAAATTTTGGAAAAAAACATTGATAATTTTGAAAAAATCCCAAACCAGACATGAAACATTGGTTTTTTCTGGGACTGTAGGATTTTGGCGGATTTTGGTTCTGGCATTTTGCTGCTTTCACCATTTCTTACTTTCGTAAAGTTTCACTTATGAAATTAATCTAGAAATTGCAAACTCACTTAAAATTAGCCGAGACCTTCATCATTTAATCGATTTTGCATTAATTCTTTTATTACGGCCTTTTCTTTAGTCTCACATGCAACGTTGTTGGGAACACACTGCCCAAATATGAATTGTACTTGTTGTGAAGCATATTTTTTGTCACTTTTCACTTATTTTGTTTAGATAAAGAAATTTTGCTAAATTAAGAAATCTTTCCATGGCCTTCTGAAAAGTAAAAATTGTCGTTTGGATTCTTCCACAAGTTTCGCCCAATTTCATAAAGCGGTTCAAGGACAGTAGCACAAAGAATTTCCTTGGAAATCTTGTTGCTTTCCAAAATGGGCGTCCTTGTCCACATGGTTCCCACGCACGAGCTCGTGAAGGACTTTGGCAGGTAATTTGCTAACTCGCAAACCAGAAAAGCTAGGAAGCTAAAATTTTAAGGGAATGTTTTTTGACAGTCTTGGTGGCTAGTCTCAATTCTTTTAGCCAGAAGCATCTGCCGCAAAAAAAAACAGTGCCGTTAGTGACAAAAATTTCGGACCACAAAGTTGGCTTTTTAATCTCACTCTAGATTCTTCCACAAATTTCGCTCAACTTCATCAGCAGTGCGCAAGGGCAGCCGTACAAAGAGTTCCCAGAGAAATCTTAATGCTTTTGTAGTTCACAAACAACAGAACAACAATGCTTCTTCGTTTATTCTGGTGCGATACACTAATTTGCGAATATGCGAAATCGCCGGGTCTCTCCCTTCAACGCTTCTTTTTCCCGGACACGGCTTCCCCAATGCTTCTGCTGATGCTGTGCGATTGGTTTTTCACTCGAAGGCAGTGTAAAAGAATGCGGCTGAGAAAATAGTGAAGGACACCAACGCGCCAACCACGGCGCATAATACTGCGATGAACAGAAACTTCATATCTGAAATTCCATAGCCAATTTAACCGTCATACTGACAAGGTCCAGTCGTGGTGCTGAGCTAAGACGTATATGACTTAATGGACTGAAACGTTTCAACTCATTCACACTCAGTTCTTTCACACTACCTCTAATTCCTGCATTCATCCATACATAGTTTGCTCCATGCATACCGTCGTTAAGTTCTTAACATTAATTGCATGCTACAATCAGCTTAACATCCACAAAACTACTTAGCCGTAACAACAAAACTGCAGTAGAATTCGCACATAGCACATAGCATGCATGACCGTTCGCTTTTTGGGAACACGAAATTCATGAGTACGGAATGAAATAAATGAACAGGGCACCAACTGCCGGTGCAAAGATGCGTTTTTTGCATAGTTCCCCGCAGATTTTTATCGCTAACATTTTCCTACACTTCTAGCTAAAAGAACTGAGACTGGCCGGCAAGACTGTCAGGAAACATCCCTTTAAAATTTCGGCTTTCTAGCTTTCCTGGATCCCGAGTTAGCAAATTACCCACAAAAAATTCACGGCCCATACGTGGGAACCATGCATACCGGGGTGCTGGATTTGAACTGATTAATACCTACTTGGACGGGAAATATTCCCTTAGTATATTGTGACCCTCTGGCGTCGCGTACGTTTGCTCTTTACTGTTGAATTAATCAAACCTCAACTACTTCGTTTCACCCCATGCTTCAGAATGACGTCGCAACCAGAACTGCCGATGAAGCGCACGAAGGCCGACAATCACATCACACACGTTGGTCTTCTATGCATGTTTACCTCTTAGTAACTATTTTTTCCTTCTAACACTTCCCCGCTTTTTCCTCCTGTCCAGTTTTGGATCCTTGTAATTTCCTATTTCCTCCACTCCTCCTCTTTACCTCTTCTCCTGCCTTACTGATATGTTATCAACTTTTCCAAATGGTGGATTCGAGGCTGCACTGACAATTCCCATCCCAGTCCACAACAAATACTATCTGTGTTTGCAGATTAGGGATGAAACACAGACAGCCAAGTTTACATTCAGCCTTCACCAGGTCCTCATTACATCTCTTCACAAAATATGTTGTTTCACTATCTCTTTTCACTTCTTGTTTTCTTGGTCTTTCCTTTCATTCCATTAAAATTTCAACCTTCCAGCTTTTCTAATTCCCAAGCTAGCAAGTTCTTCGCTGGAATTTTCATTTGCTCGTACTCGGATCCAGACATGCGTGAAGGTTAGTATCGCAGCCCTGGGGTGCCAGTGGCAAAATTTTAATGTCGGGGCCTGCTTGGTTGCCAAGTTGAAATACCTGGACAGACACACACACATACAACAAACAAAAACATACAGACACGCGCACACGAGGGTTGTCAGAATATGCGTTTTTGCATTTGCACATATGCAAAAACGCATAATAACCAAATTCCAGTTTATATACCGCTCGATTATAATGTAACATCGCAAAGACAATTTACCTGCAGCAAGCACTTAATAAGCATTAAGTAAGCTGAATTTTGGATTATTTCACAATATTGTACCTTTATTTTTAGCAAAACTTTACTTTTTCTCGGTTTTTTCGAGCGCTTTAAAGTGCTGTTTATTTGAGTGCCATCTTTCGATTTTGGAGCTGAAAGCATAGGCTGAGAAATGTATCTGTAGAAATGCGCCCAATTGAGGGAAAGAGAAAGATTCACAGATTATTTTAGCAGAACTAAATGAGTTATCACTGACGGCAATGCTAAAATTTTGACTACATCACATACTGCTTGATAAGTGGTGTTGCTTGCAAACGAGTATAGTGCGTTTTGTTTAAATGTATACGACTTAATGGACCGAAACACTTCTTACCATCATAATAATTTCTCACAAATTTTCTAATTTTCATTTCTCTCCATCATTTTTCTTTTTTCTCTTTATTTCATCCCTTCTTGTTATAACTTTCTATTGCGTTTTTGTGGGGAGTGGACCGGAGCATAATGTAACAAGAGGAACCGATCTTTTAGCTCCATTCGGTTTATCTGATGATAATATGCAGCAGGAGATTGCAACTGTGCTGCCAAAATGCTAGGATGTGAGACCAGATCCTTTACAGCCCTTTTGCTAGGAAATAAGAAATGAGGAGCTGATTTCTGCATTCGCGAACCCCGTACATAGCGCAGATTCAAAATTTCAGCTTTTCGTGTTTTCGTAATTTTCACGAGAATTTTCATGAAATTTTTTCTCCATGGAAAAAGAATTTCATGAAAAAAAAATTTCGTAAGCAAAACTCATCATCATGAAAAGCTGAAATTCTGAAATATGAAGTAGATTAGGAAGTGCAGTGTAAGGTCTACCGTTGTGCTCTACGGTACCGCACGAAGTGCCCTCAAATGCTTGGCTCCATGCGACTATTGCAGCAAAAATTCAGTCCCCTGCGAATCGCTCAATCGCAAATTAATTTTGGCTTTCTCGTCTTCAAAAAGTTTTTGGAGGGGGGAATAGGTTGACTGTTAACAAAGCAGCGGATGTTTTTGGAAAAATGATGGCAAGCGAGTGAGTCGTCCCCTTCAATTAGTATTGTATGAAATACCATTTGTGTCTGAATTCTACTCAGCGGGTTTTTCGCCCAAAGTATGTGATGTCTCAATCTGAGAGCAGAACCAATGAAAATAAAGCTGGAACTGAGCAGTAATGATGAAAACAAAACTATAACATAAAACTAATGAAGTAGAACTGATTTCTTAGTGTTTTCTTTCACATGCGAGATCCACATTGTACTATGAGAACCTATAAAACAGTTCGAGATAGACCTCGGCTGGATCAACTCAAATTTGGCAATCTTCCCCTCAAACACTTCATAAGGCTGCCCTGGCCTAATAAAATCAAAAATTTTTCGTAAAATGCTATCGTCTAAGAATGAATGTTGGACAGATAAAGCGCCCTTCCGAGAGGGATGGTTGGCTAGTTTTTTCTGAGTAAAATCCTAAGTCACTGAAATTACCATGTGTAGGTGTTCGGAGCGAGATTTCTTTTGTTCCACCTGTTGTGCCTGAAAAACAGAACAGTTCAACGGGAATTATGTGCCGATCACAATAGCACATTTCTGCAGCTCATTTATTTGCCACACGACCGAATAGCAACATGTTCTAGTTTTGACTGATCATTCATATTTCCTGAGGGTCAGTTGTGAAATCGCCAAGTATTCCGA